ATCTTTTTTTGTCTGGCTAGCCAGTATAGATGTTTATTGGCGGGGGTCATTGCTTAGCTCATGTAAACCCGGTGCGAATCGTTGTCCCCCCAGCCCAGATGGCATGTAGAGAAGTATCTTTTCGTTCTTCTCTGCTACAGCAGTTCACCTCTTGTAGTTTGCCTAACGAAGCGAGCAATGATAGGGCCTGGAGTTCCTTCCTGCTTTGGTTTGAGCCTCACTGCGTGATCCAGATCGTCTGGACTTAATTTGATGCTCAGACCCGCTCCGACGCTAAGGATGGTCCCAGTCACAGTCTCACCCGGCTTTTCTGGAATTCCTCAGATTTCGACTGTGTGTCTTAACTGATATTGCTCAGTATAATTTAACCGAATTTCCAGCTCCGATATTTTTTTCTTTAAGGTGGTGTTTTCGATAGACAATTTTTCGAAGTGTTTTTTCTGTTCTTCCAGCAGGGTTTCTATCTTCAACAGCTTTTCCATATTTTCAAAAGACAGTTCCGACTGTTTGTTGAGGCAGTCTTTTATTTCCTTTAACTCGTCGATGCCCTGAAGCTTGGTCTTCATCTGCTTAACTTCCTCGGTCAGGGCCTTCAATAGGTCAATCATTGTAGGCTCAGAAGCGCAATCGGGGCATATCCATTTTTTGTTAATTTCTTTTAGGCCTTCTGAGTCACTATCAATTTTGATACATTTAGCATGAAATATATTTGTACATACTGTACAGGCTAATTTGTTCTTCTCCTCTCGTGCCACCGATTTATTGCATGTTTTACAATTAACCATTTTATTGAGATTATTATTTCTTTAAAATAGCGCTATTTAAATAAGGAGAGTCAAATAAAAACAATAAGCAACAAAAACAACAACACACCTGTTTGTTTAGGTGGCGGCTGCCAGGATTAAGGTGAAGCTTGATAAGCTGCCCCACTACTCCCACTCAGCTGCTTTTATAACAGGCACTTTATTACTATTTTTATTAATATCAATGAAGATAAAACACTACTGTTAACTCTATGGAATTTTCTGGATGCTATATTAAATAAATGTGGAGATTTTTCACCGGAATGTCTATGGATAACTATTAGATAAAGATATAGAGAGACAGAAACGCACGCTTGAGGTCTTGATTGAACGAGAAATTCTCTAAGACTGAAAATATATATATATATATATTTTTTTTTTCAATTAGTGCTACAGACCATGAAGATCTTTGGTTAAGAGATGTACTCTCCTTACAGACGTATGTTGCTTTCGGGAACACAGATAGCCTACTGAGGGTCACCCAACCTCATGTTGCTACGAACCATGGTGCAGCAGCATGCCACCCGTAGATCCATAGCCTATCTCTTTGGGGCCAATCTGACAGTGTCCTTCTCACCGACTCACTCGGGTTCAAGGACAGTCAGTGACAAATCAGTCTAGATCCATGGGTTATAGCTGCTCAGAGTCAGTAGGTGCATGTGGACCTATATTTCTTTCCCCAAAACAGATCATCCATGGACCAAACCTCAGGGGGCTTACTGACATCCTGGAAGACCACATTCCGATTTAAGTACACGGGGTAGGGTCATCAGTTCTATGCCAGGTCGGTGTGAGTTGCCTCCAGTAGGCTGACGGATCTCACATACCCTGGAGGAGTCTTGGGCAGCATGTTATTATTTTGATTGAAAAGGGAATTCTATTAAACAAATAATTTTTATTTGTTTCGAGCAGGTTTTTTATGTGTTTGTTAAATTTTAGCATTAGTGAGCGGGTTGGGTCGTGAGAAGAGGCTAAGTAAGTCGATTGGTCTGATAGGAGTTGTTGTACTTTGTCAGAGTATTCGATCCTGTCCATAATAACTGTGGTATCTCCTTTATCAGCCTTAGTAATAATGAAATGGTCATTAGTTTTAAGGAAAGAGCGTGTAAAGGATAAATCTTTGAAGAACAGGTGGGAAAAAGGGAAGAAAGAGGAGGTAGGTGTAGAAGATGGTTAGAAATCATATTGCTGATATGGATGCAGGATAGCTATCTCTCCTCTTCCTTAATTCCAAATCGGTTCTCTCTGTATATATTCTCTAAATCAGTAATAAGGCTAGGGATGAGATTGGAACATTTGGAAGAGGGGGAAGAAAAATTGGGGTCCAAACTTATAAAATATTGACTACGAGGTATGTGTCGCAAATGTAATGCAGAGTCAGTATATGTAAGTTATAGCAGAAGGCCTCGACAATGCGTGTTCATTATTTAGAGGGTTAAGATGACAGATTGGATGAAGGAAGATAATTAGATGGATAGCCTCGAGTGACAGGCGGATCAGCATCCAATCACTCTCGGCTTGCGGTGTAAGGGATCAAACTTAACACTCCGCAAGGATGGTAGCCACAACCGGAGGGATCAAATTCCGGACTTGTGGGAGGATGAAATACTGACGGAGGGATCAATCTCCAGACTCAGTATATAGGACTGCAAGTGGACGGATCAGTGTCCAACTTACATGGAGATAGAGAAGAGGATAAAGGTTTCAGGGTGATGATAAATAAGAAGAGCAGACTGAGGTGAACCAAAAGAGTATAAGATACAAATACTGACCATCTGCCTATAGATCTACAACCTGAAGGGGTGGAGCTCTGTAGAACTGACAACTTGAGGTTTGTCTAGGGTATTCATTCCGCCAAGACTAAACTGGCTACCAAGAGCCATTACTATAACAGTTATTTTGAGCTTAAGTCAGTATATGTTATCGCCATTGAAATTTATTAATAAAAAGTATTTACAATGAATATGCATATTTCAGTTTACAATTTAAGTATTTTATAATACAACAATGAGAAATCAAAGTAAGTTTTAGTAAGTTGCACGGGCGAGCTTGTAGAGCGCTGCCTGGTAGCGGGTAGGCGAACTTGATGTTCCATGTGGCAAGAGCTTGTAGGGCGCTGCCTGGTAGCGGCAAGACGAACTCGTTCCTTGTGGCAAGAGCGGGAAATCGAAGTTGTTGCTCCTTGTAGCAAGAGCGGAAATCTGTTTCCGCTACAACTACCTGAGGCAGTATATCAGAGGAGGAAATATTGTTAACCCATTTGTCACAGCCCTTGGGATAAATTGTATTTTTAAGGGCTTGTTGGTATATTACATTGAATTTGAATTGAAGAGAGCATTGCTTATTGGTTTTTAAAGAGAAACAAATTTGTGCTTTTTTGTTATTGAGTTTAACAATATTTTCTTTGCCAATAACCGAGGTAAGAAATGTGGTGAGGGAGGAAATTTTTGAATTAATAAAATTGAATTGTTGTATAATCTCTCTTATTTTTAAATTTAACAGTTTTTTTTTTTAATTTAATAGTGGATGGTTGAGATAAGATTTTAATGAGGGGACAACATGAAAATTATTAAAACAGCACTCTATACATTTAGAGAAGACTTGGTTAGATCTGCATTTTAAAAGGAAAATCCGTAGCTCTATTTCAACAGTGAGCTGTTTGTGGAGGTTGTAAAGAATATTAAACTTTGATTTGTGTAACTGAAATTTTGATTTGAGAAAATTAAAGATGACAGGAGTAATGGATTCTGTGGAATCAATGTGAGTTCTGGTATTAGTAATACCAGAAGATGGGGAGGATGAAGACGGAGTAGGCGAATGACGTGAAGCGATCTGTTACTTTGGGGTCTGGTACTGTGGTGAAGAGGTGCTTGGGTTTTGTTATCAATATTGCTAAATCAGTAGAATCAAAAGAATTGAAAGGATGAAAAGTGCTTTAGTTGAGTATGGCAGCTGATATGCCTACATCTACATTTACGTGCACTTTAACAGCTCTGCCTTCTCACGTATTAACATCTACAATAAATCACAGGAAAACCGGCAAAAACAGCTATTTTTTGTTAAATAAGCAAATAGTCAACTTCCTATAACTCCTCGCCCATAGATCCTATATTAAAAAACTATAAATGAAATGTATAGTAAACTTTGTCTTTTCTAACTTTATATAGACTTATAATTTTGATAAAATACAGTTTCGAAGTCATGGCTTAATAACTGAAAAAAGTGTGAAACAGAAAAAGAAACCGACTTTTTGAATTTTTTCTGCATTCAACTACCATTTGATAGGACTAATTTGTAATTATAATATTTGTATGTAATTTAATTAATGACTTAGGCACCGTCAGTGTTCAAAACGCAACAGAGTACATCATCATTCAAGGTAAATTCTCATGAGTTCAGGATTTTTTTACCATTGACAGTCTCTTTATTTATTTAAAACTTTATTTGGAGAGAAGCTTTCGGTGTCCATGCACCATATTCATCTCTATAATTATGATACTCCAATTAGTATAAATCAACAGTTAATTAATAATATTAACAATATATGTATTACATAATTTTTGAAATGTCATGCAATTATTATAAGATAATAATAATACTTTTTATATACACCATACTTTTTAAATATGTAAATTCTCTAATAGGAATACATTGTTTACATCATATCAAAATTTCAGTCAGTTTTTTGTAAAATGAAACGTCAAATTTCACCACTTAAAATGAATTTTGGAATATAAGGCAACGGCTTTCAATTGACTGACCAAAGTTGTGTGTTCAGATGAGGTTTATATAGAATAGGGGGGCTTTTGGGCTGAAGCCCCTCCCCTCCTCCAAATGGTAAAATATAATCATGTCTTATGATAAAATATTAAAAAATTATCTCTTAAAATATAATTATTCATGTAATTATATTTAATAGGACTTCAAAAATCACTAATACACCGTTTCATAGAGTTTCTTTCTTTTTTTCCAAAGTAATTATCGTTATATTTATATTAAAAAGTTTTCAGGCTGAAGCAGGTCATTAAATTAGGATTAATGATCATTTAGAAATATGATCATTTTATAATTATTTGGAATAATTTGAATTTTTTTTATTTTTTTTTAAGGAATAGTAATACAAATATTTTATTGCATGATAGTCAACATTATTAGAAAATTAATTATCAATATGTTATTTAAATAATATAGACTTACATATACATTTTCATCATCTATCTTGCACTCTGAATGTTTATCCAGAGTACCTTCTCCATGATATTCTATCATAAAATATCTATTGATTTTTTTTCTGATTGGTAAAAAAGATTTTCCATCCAAAATAACATCGTTAATTCCACCAATATGAAGTAATGTTGGAGCTATATCAGCAAGGATCACTGGATCAGGGACAGACACATTTTTTGGTATCCCAGGTCCACAAACTAATAAAGGCACACGTATATCAAATTCGTATAATTGTCTTTTGTCCCAAGGTAGCGAGAATTGGCCAAGATGGAAAGCATTGTCTGAGGTATATAAGATATACGTATTATCCAATTCTTTAATAATATCTAACTGTTTTACAACTGATTCAACTAAATTATCAACAGATAATAATGTTTCCCATCGCCTTGCATACATTTCATCCAAAACACTTATTGTATGCATGGGTAACGGTGAAGGTTTCATCTGAAGTAACCAATGTTTATTCTAGAATAAAGAAAGTTATAAAAAATATTATTTTAAAAAATAGATATAAAACTATAAATTTAAAAATAGTAAACAAAAATGTTTTGTACCATGTGAAGTATGAGTTGTTATTAAGAAAAAAAATCCTTTGGTTAACAAAATTGTTTCTTACTGTGTTATTTTCAAAATTGAATTGAATATTTCTTGGCACTCTTATTCCTTCAAAGAATCCTGCATACTTTGCCTCTGGTGTGAATGGATGGTGTGGGGCTGGAGGAGCAATCACCATCAAAAAAGGATGTGAAGAATTTTCTTGATTTTTGACAAAACTATAAGCATAAGATTGCTGAAAATTACGAAAACCATGTTATCAAAACTATACATTAGGAAAACTAACTAAGTTTACCAAATCTTTATCACATATATCAAATATTAAAGTTTTCTTAACAGTATACTACAAAATTAGGCATTAATAAGAAAAATTATCTCTAAATAATAAAAGCAGTAGTCAGAAGGGTGGGATAAACAGCTTTATTTTTTAAAATTTATTATTATTACCAAATAAATTATTTTTACACAGATTTTTTAATAAAATACGCTGGTGGTCGTAAAAACCAGCGCACCTTAAAGTTTTTCGTCATTACTTTCCCAAGTCGTTATTTGAGTAACTAAAATTAGACTAATAAACTAATGTTAAAAAAAGGAACCGAGAAATGCAGCTGCAGGTTAATAATTCTCAAAAAAATAAGTTTTACAAACTGAAGAACAAATACAAAATAAAATATGCTAGCCAACTAACACAACAAGATAAGAGTTACAAATCCAGTGCAATATTTTTGAACAGTGAGCCCCCAGCAATTGTGCTGCCACTAGGTAATAATTGAACATTTATAAATTAACGACACAATTGAAATCTTTTTTTATCATAAGGTTCTATAGGAACTGCAAGAAAAAAAAATTCTGTTTCAAACGGAATCAAATTTTTCGGAATCGAGCATGGAAGAACGATTGTTCAAAGAGGTAGGACTGGAGTTAAAATGCAGCACGAGGTACTGCAGGCGTTATGACCTCACATGAGGAGAGTTAAAACTATTAGGTGGAGTATGGACCAGAAATCTTTAGTTAGAATTAAAAGATACTGATGAAGAAATGCAAACTTTAACTCAGTCAAACTTAGTTAAATTCGATGCAAGATATTATCAAACAATATGCTCCAGTATTTCAACAAAAAGTAGGATATATTCCTAACTATGAACTTAAATTGGAACTCCGACCTAATGTGAAACCAACTTTTACTCAGGAATGCGATGTTCCATATGCATTGCGTAAGAAAATCAATAAAGAGCTTGACTCATTGGAAACAGAAAGATTACACCAGTTCGTCTATGTATAGATCATAAATATGGAGTAAATGAACGATTGGTTTCTTCAAACCACCCTATATGAAGAATCGACGTTGTACTACAGTCTTCACGGTTCAAAATACTTCTGTAAGCTAGATCTTTTTAAGGCTTACTTTCACTTAAAAATAGATGAATAAAGCAGCAAAATTCAGACAATGGTTACTCACAATTGAACTTACAATGTGAATAGACTGAGCTTTGGTATAAAAACTGCTCCATCTGAATTTAACCGAGTGTTATGTACAATAATATTCTACAAGGACTTCGAAATACTGAAGCATATTTTGACCACACCATAATACAAGGATTGACAGAAGAAGAATGAGCGAAAAACTTAAAAGCTTTTTTAAAAAGACTTTTAGAATATGATTTACATTTGAACAATATAAAGTGCTCCTTTTTTAAACTGAAAATTGATTATCTCGGACATGTGGTTGAATATAATAAATAACATAAGTAAATCTTCAGAAAAGAATCGAGCTATGATGGAAATACCATTTCCCTCCAACATCGATGAATTAAGACATTTTCTTGGACTTGCCACTTATTATTTACACTTTATACAAGATTTGTCTACACTCATGTACTCTTTACATTGTCTATTAAGAAAAAAATCAACTTTTTTTTAAAGTGCTTTGGTTAATCAACCTTTCTTAAATTGAAAGCTGAACTTTGCAGTGATCGTGTACTCACAACATTTGATCCTTCCTCACCACTTTCACTAATGACCGATGCCAATTCTACTGAAATCGCAGCAGTTTTCAGTCATGAAGTTGATGGCCTGGAAAAGCCAATCGCTTATGCATCAAGATCTCTCACAGAAGTAGAGTGAATTAGATCAGTATAAGCCAGTTAGATTGTGAGGCCTTAGCCATTATTTTTGGAATAAACTATTTTTACAAATAGGTTTTTGGTAGATATTTCACCTGTATTACGGACAATGGCCCTTAAATAGGACATTCCATCACAACAAAGCACTTCCAAAAATGGCATCTACTAGACCTTTTCGCTATGCATCATTCTCGTCTGGTTTTGACTACACCCTTTGTTCAAATTCAAGAAGCGCGAGCAACACAATGATGATTCTTTATCATGTGCACCTGTACCTCATTCAAATGTTTCGACAGATCTTTTAATCAATGAAGAAGTAGATCAGTTATATTCACAGACAATATGTGAAATATTCACAGAACAAATTGCTTATAAAACTAAAGCAAATTATAAACTTTAGAAGATCCAGAGCTTTGTTTAATACTATGCTTCAGATCCCAAATAAATTACAACCTATAGAACTTAATGAATTCCATTCTAACCATATCGGAATTACAAAAATGAAGGAACTTGCTAGATGATATCTATATTGGACGAAAATAGGTAACGACATTGAAAGATTGGTCAAATCTTGTGAAAACTGTGCTCATACAAGAAACATAGCATCAAAAGCAGAAGGAAATCCATGAACAATCCATCCAGAGCCTCAGCATCTACTGCGAAGGTCAACACGAACAAGGCGGCTTCCATCGCATTTATATGAATATGAACTTTAGATTTTATTAATATTGAACCTCATTTCGGTGAGGGAGACTGCTATAGGACAAATAATAATTATGTTTTAATCACATTAGTATTAATGTACTGTTTTGAATGGGTAAAAAATAAAAGTGTGTTCTATTTTAACTTCTTTTCCATTTTTAAGTATAACCATATATTCCCAGAATTTTCAATCTACTCAAGCCACAATACTAGATTCGTCTAGGTAATCCTGTACATATTCAATGAGTGGCCCAACATTATCCTGCATAAAAAGGAAACCGAGGGCGATAAACAGACCAAAAGGTACCACATATTCATCGAGGATGTCGGTGAAGTATGTATTGAGCATTGAGCATTGGCCTTCGGAATACATGGTAGTCTGTACTTGACTCTAAACATATTCCACCCCAAACATCACCAACCCTCCTCCGAACTGTACTCTTACCATTCTATTGCACTGAGATTATTGCTTACTTGGTCTTCTCCACACTTGAACCCGTCGGTCTGCACCATAAAGGCTACACCAGGGTTCATCAGAAAACAGAACAGAGGCCAAATCATCTTCTGTCCAGGCAGCATGTTTCCAACCAAAGTGAAGGCGAACTTCTCAATGTGCTGTGGTGAGTAGAGTGCTGCAAATGGGAACCCTAGTGTGCAGGTTGAGTTCAGCAAGACTTTTCCTTACAGTGTGCGCACTGACATCTGCATCCCAAGCAAAACGCAATGGATGAGAAGTTTCAATTGAAGTCTAATAGCGGTTTCTGAGGGTCTCCATAGCAATGAAGCGTCAATAAGCTGGATGAGTCGCTCTTGGAAGGCCTTATCACAGCCTCCTAGCGTAGCTTCCTGTCTCCCGCTACCTCTGTACCACACGCCGAACCGTTGTTTTAGGTAGCCCGTGGACTCAGGCTGCATAGCGCTGACTTCGGTTGTTCTCAATTAACTCAGTAATCTGAGTGACTGCCGTGGAGGATCCAAAACTATTAACTATTTTACACTAAAAATGTTTGATACAAATGAAATATTATATTATTAAACAAAAGCCAAACCAATGCGACTGGACAGGCAAATAGAGATAAAATGCTATGAAGTTCTTTTTATTTTAATACTTTTATTGTTAATCCTAGAGGATTATGAAATTTTCATCTCGAAAGGATTAATGTATGGTAATTCCCTTTGATCTGCCTTATACCTGTAATTACTTCAGGCTCAAAATATTTCTTTTATCAGCTGTTTTTATGTAAAAGCCGGTTTTTTTACCACCAGTTTAGAAAAAGTAGGTAACAACGTATTTTATATTAACTGTCTAAAAATATTTAAATTTATAGATTAATATGACTCGTCGATTTTTTGTTCCCCATTCACTACTATTGAGTTAAATTCAGCTATTGAAAAGATGCCATGTAAAAAAAGCGCAGGGCCAGAAAATATCCTTCCTGAATTTATAAAACATCTAGGGGAGTCTGCGAGGGCTATTCTCCTGCGGTTTATGAACAAGATCTGGAGAAAAGGATTGCCAAGTGCATGGCAGAAGACTGAAATAATCCCTATCCCTAAGAAAGGCAAGACTCCAAACAAACCACAACACTGTAGACCAATCGCCCTCACTAGCATGCTCTCAAAATTGTTTGAACAACTAATATTGTCTCGACTTGAGAATTTCATGAAAATTAAGCGAGCTATCTCTGACAAACAAGCAGGATTTAGAAAACACAGGAACACGGTGGAGCACATGGCATACCTTTCACATGAAATAAAAAATGGTTTCCACAGAAAGCAAAGTACATTGGCGATTTTTGTAGATTTTAAAGCAGCATTTGATAAAGTCTGGAGAGAAATGCTGTTACTAAAAATTAGAAATATGGGTGTGGCAGGTAATATGTTCAAATGCATTTATTCTTTTTTAGCACAGAGACATATCCGGGTAAAATATAATGGTGTAGTTTCACCTTATAAACAGAAAAGAAAAGGAGTCCCCCAGGGTGCAGTTTTAAGTCCAATTTTGTTTAACATTATGATTAATGATGTAAATACTAGAAGTATTGAAATACTAGAAGCTATTCACGGAGTTCAAACACTTCTCTATGCAGACGACTTAGTTATCTGGGCTACTAGTAGCCACATGAAAGCTATTGAATGTTGCTTAAATAATGTTTTAATATCATTACATAAATGGACGGTGGACAACCAGTTTGAGGTTAATACTCTCAAAACTCATTATCAAATCTTTACCCTCTCGACTAAAAGACAAGAAGTAGATATTATATATAATAATGAGAAGCTGACTCAGACTGATTCTGCAACATGCTTGGGTATAAAATTAGACTGCAAACTTACTTGGAAGAACCATTTAGATAAATTAATTGAGCAAGGAAAAGGCAGATTAAGCTTGCTAAAAAGACTGACAGGA